TGACATTATTAATAATTCACCTTGCATATTGTATGAATGCATTTATATTCAGACTAATTATGTCTAATCAATTTTATCTGCTTGCTAATTTCAATGTATGTGGACTTCATTTATAAAGACTAGAAAAGGAATTTAGATATTTTATTCACAACGTGGTGGTACAAATGTATTTACTACTCCTAAAACCTAATCATTTTTCTTTAAGATACCCAAGAGAACATTAATGCTTTGAATAAATGAAATAAGGCAAATGAGATGAATTGGTGCAATATTCTAGAGTTTACCTCGAATACGCTCCAAAGCTAACATTTACATTATTTTATTTTCTTTAAGCATCATATTAAATGTCAATAAGATGTTTTGGTGAGATTAGATAGAGCGTATGCTAAAGTACTATATCAGACTTGAATAGCATCAAGATAGCCTAAGGAACTCTAGTATGAAATCGAATTTTGGAAAATGATTGTTTATTATTTAAAATTAGCTGGAGATCAATAGGGCTAACTTGGGTAGTAAGTTTCAAGTTGACATGATTATTGCCTTGTTACCAAACTCGTTCGACTCTGTTAGAGTGAACTAAATAAGGAATCAGTTTGAGTTCACACTCGCTGATATTCTTATAGAATTGGTAACAGATGAAGGGATAATCAAGAGTATGGGCGTTCCTATCAATCTAACCTAGTCTATACCATCTTCTTCTAGGCCCAAGTGGAAGGGCAAAGCACAGAAGAAGGATGATAATAGGACTAGACTAGCACAAAACATAGGTATTTAAAAGGTTAAAGGGAATAAGGCAGTGTATGTTGAGGGCGAAGAAAATTGTTTCTTTTGTCGCTAACTAAAACACTAAAGGACGAACTGTTTAAGCAATGACGTGGCATAGGAAAATATATATTTAATCATTGAGCCATGTTATGTGGTTGTGTCTATTAATTCCTGATGGATAGATTCTGGAGCCACTAAACATGTTTGCAATTTATTGTAAGGATTTCAGGAATCCAGAAGCCTTGATGATATGGATATATATTTATCTTTTGACCTGATGCCAAGGTTGTAGTTAAGTTATTGGGAGTATTACATCTGAAATTAGAGAGTATGAGGATATTAGTATTAGAGAACTATCTTTATGCACAGAAGTAAAACGCAATCTCATTCTTATTTCACTTTTGGTTTATAAAAACTGTGTTGTTATTTTGTAAAACTGGTTTTATAAAATTGAATAGATATGCGATTGCTTCTGGTGCATTGAAAGATGGTTAATATACTATAATCACAAACTCTTAAGATTTGTAGGATGTAGAAACTAATGTTGCATCTTCTAGATTGAATATTAAGAGAAAAATTGTTATTCCTGACTCATTGTATTTTTAATGTCTATTTTTGGGTTGTTATCAATCAAAATAAGATTCAAAGATTGGTCAAAGAAGGTTAATTACCTAGTGTGGCAGGGGAGCCTAAACCAAACTTGTGAACCCTGTTTTGAAGGATAGATAACTCTTAGGGCTTAATCAGCCAGATGAAATAGACATAAAGGACAATTGGAGTCGGTACACACTGACACGTGTGGTCTTATGAACATCCAAGCAAGAGTACTCACGTTTTTGATAAGTTTATCTGATGCAACACAAGTCTTAAACTCTTGGTATTTTCTGAGAAGGTTAAGACTGATGTGGAACACATATTTGGTAAACTTATCAAGACACTTTGATCTGATCGAGGATATGAGTATTTCTTGGGATAGTGCAAAGACTATATGGTCAATGAGGGTATTATGTACCAGTTTTCCGCAATTGATGCTAAATGTATTTAGGTGTCAAATAGGAATAACAGAATTCCACTTAACATGGTTAGATCTATGATCAGCTATGCTACATTATCTCTTTCATTTAAGAGTTTAGCGTTAATGACATCGATGCGCATTATGAACTGCATTCCATCTTAGTCTGTCTCAAGGATACCGTTGAGCTGTGTTTTTTTACTAAATATTAGTTTGAATCATATGCACATATGGGGTAGTCTTGCACATGTGCGCTTGATATGGACAAGTAAGTTGGAAGCAGATCATAGGCATGCTAGATTTGATAGCTACTCTAAATGTCACTAGGATGGATTATTTTATGATCTCAAAGATAAAAGTTGATTGTTTTCACTCACTGTTTATCTATAGGAGAATCATATTATGAATCACATACCTAATAGCATAATGTTAGAGAATTTGGTATGAGTACCAGATGTACCACATGTGAACACACTTATTATAGAGATTGAGAATAATATATGAATTCCCTATTGATGCGTTAGCATCATCTATTACACAGATTCTTGCATCTGTACATTGATGTAGTGGGAGGATTATCATCCAATTCGACAGAATCATGTTTTTAGGTGAGACCATTATGGACATCCCTGTTAAACATGAGTTGGACCCAGTAAGCTACACGGAAGCGTGAACCGATGTGGATACAGATCGTTTTGGTGAGTTACTATGAAATCAGAGTTGGAATTTATGTATTCTAATAAATTCTGGCATCTTATAGAACTTTCTAGTAGGGTGATTCCTATGGAAGGCAAGTTAATCTACAAAAAGATACCAGAAGATTTCTTAGTGAATAAATCATGAGTGTACAAGGGAATGTCATTATTTTTCTAATTCTATATATATTGATGACATCCTACTCATTTAGAATGATGTGGAAGTATTGTCATCAATAAAGAGGTTGTTGTTCAAATTACTTTTAAATGAAGGATTTTCAGGATGTAAGCTAGATTCCTAGGATCAAGCTTTTGCAAGATCAGGTTAAAAGGAAAATAGGCTTATCTTAATAATCCTACATTGATAAAGTTTTGACCAGGTTTGGTATGCATAACTCAAAGAATGAGTTCTTGCTTTATTGATATGGATGGCTCTCTCTAGCAAGTAGTTTTTCAAGACTATCAAAGGAGATTGAGCAAATGAGACTGGAACAATATGTCTCGGCATATGAGAGTCTCATATATGCCATGGTCTATACCAAACAGGACATCCGCTACATAGTAGGGATAGTCAGTAGAGATCAGTCCAATACTGGACTTGACAACTGGTTTATTGTGAAAAATATCATTAAGTACCTAAGGAGAACCAATGATATCATATTCATTTATGGATGTGATGATATGGTCCTAGTCAGGTATGCTAGTTCTGATTTTCAATCAGAAGTAGATACTATGAGGTTCATGACTTAGTGTATGTTCACTTAATGGAAGGGAGATCAGTTGGTAGATTGTTAAGCAGATTTCAACTGCTGACTCAAACCTGTAGGTGGAATATATTGCAGCCTTAAAGGCGGCAAAGGAAGCCTATTAGTTTGATCTCACTGATTTAGAGGTTGTGGAGTATACTAGCCTGCCTATTGAGCTATGTTGTGACAATAGTGCAGAAGTAGTCCAAACCAATGACCCAAGGTTCCATAGAGGAACAAGATACACTGAGAGGAAGTATCATGTTCTACATGATATTGTCCGGTAAGAAAATGCACTTGTAGTTAGAACATTGCATTGGAACACAACTTTGTTGATCCATTATCAAATGTGTCATTGATCAATAATTTTGATCATCATCTGGATAACATTGAAGTTAGGTGCAATTTGAATTGGTTATGAGGGCAAGTGGGAGCTGTTGGGATTTATATGCCCTGGCATAGCAAATTCCTATCTGGATTATAGTGACATATGTTCCTGACATATTTGAAATATTTATGATTTATATAATTGGTGAATTCAATGTATTGTGTTTCGATTCACTGTGAAATTGATAGTGTCCATGTAATTACAAGAAATATTTATATATATGTATGTGATGGCAATCAATGCATGATATATAAATAGTAATTATAAATTGTTCATAGTCGGTAATTATGGATGGACTCATAATTAATTAAGACTTGAACTGGATCCGCGTTAGGTTGAGATATATTGCGAGAGCCGTCGTATGTAATTATTCCCTATCACCGTCATGGCATTTGACTCTTAAGCATGAGAAAAGTATAGACTCTTTTATTAATTAATAATTACTTTGATTTGTTCGGCGGATTCTTTGGGATCCTTAGACCGACACTTTGGGTAGCTATGTAATTAATAGTTAGAGGGTTATATTTTCAATATTTGCATCATTGCTACTTGTATTTATTTTGTATTGATTATGGTTGATCACAAAGTAAATTCGAAGGCCTTCGTGTATTTTTAGACAAAATGATTTATTATATATTTATTTATTTAAAGTATTATTTTTGTCAAACAAATATTTTATTGTGATTGAGTCAGAAATAATCAGAGGTACCAAAATAGATATATTAATTAAGTAGTCGGATTGATGGCTTTATTTATCCGATAACTAATTATGCATAGAGGGGTCAAAGTGCAATATTGACTTAGAGGTTATTTATTATTTAATTGGAGTTCAATTAATTTCTTTTAGTGGAGTAGAAATTAATTTATGAATTAATTGAATTGGGTCCATGGACCGGGCCAATTATTAATTCATTATAGCCAATAAAATAATAGGCCCAATGGATTCTCACTTATAGCCTAACTTGATATTGGAATCATATTAGATTTGAGACATGTGAATTAGAGATTGAGAAGGATTAGTTGTTTCCTTTTCTTTACCTTTATGTTGCCTATAAATATACATGGTCTATGTATATTTTAGGTGTGATTTTTGGAAGAAGGAAAAAGGAATAAATTTTCTCTCTCTAGAAAATTAGGGTTAGTGTTCTCATCTAATGGAGGCTCCCACAAGTCTAGTTTTCCAAGGTCATTCATGGAGGCTTATGAGTAATTCCTAAAGGCAAAACTATTACCAAGAAGATGGAGATCCATAAAAAATGTGTCTAGCAAAAGGGATCTACAATAAGTGAGAACATTCACTTTAGAGGAGAGATCTAAGGTTTACTCAAACCTTGATGTAAGTATTCAATCTTTTACTTGAATGATACATCATGTTTTATTTTTGCATAAAACTTGTCTCTATGTGATGAATTAAGATCTATGAATCAAAATCTCTCGAAAAGTTTTTAAAACTTGCACGTTTACCAACAGCAACAATACTCAAAACGATCCATCAACTCAGCAACAGTGCTGAAAACAAAGATATATAAATACTAAATTGTAAAAAATAAAAATCAAATTAAACAAAATAAAATAGAATACAACAGATTACCTATGCTTTATTTCAAAGCTTGAATCTAGAGGAAAGACGCCCGTTCTCAATGCTTTGACGACTCTTAAATTATCACACTCAATTGTCAGCCTCATCTTTCGGCAAAAATCTTCGCCATGAGTTTCAAAAATTGTATTTAGACAATAATACACAGCATAAAGTTCAGCTTCGTAGCATGCTTCATCGGTGTCACAATAGTCAAAAATCTTTTCCATTTTACCTTGAAACACGGGTTCAATTTTGCTGTACCAATTTCTCAAGAAGCCACCAACGCCAGCATTTTGACTAACAAATCCATCAAGGGTTAATTTCCATATGCCACGAATTGGTGGTACCCATCTAGTAAACACTACAGGGTAGCTAAGAAGAGTGTTACTGCAATTCACGACATAAACCCTTTGTCTGCCAACATAAATCAGTACTTCAGCTCTGAAAAGCTGATTGCGAGCATTCAACACCATTAGGGTGAAGTCGGGTATACAAATGTAGTAAGATCTTGGGGTAATCATCCCTAAACGATCCAAAGCATCCGGGTGTCAAATCAATGAAGCGGCCCATCTCGTGTAGCCTTTCAAAGAGGTCCCCTATAAAAAATTTCAATCAGATTCTATACATTTCAAACATGTTACTATTAAACTTAACTATCATTCAAGTGGCATTAAGCATCAAACAATCTTTCAATAAAGAGTACAAAAGCATTACTCATACTAGTATAAAAAAAATTATTTGTTAAACGATACCCTAAAATCAACTATGTCATTACTTGATCCACTGAAACGATCTTCAAAACATTTGACAATGTATAAGAGTTACCACCAATTGCATTCTTAGCTAAGAAGACTGCAACCTGGTTACTTAAACGAAAAATATGTTCAACACGACAAGACCCAAACTTCTTAATTGTCGCATTGACATCGCTGCAAACAAAATGTATCAAATATTAAAATATGTTGAATGAAATTTAAATGAAACAAAATAAAAAATAGTCAGTATTTCACAACGTAAACCCTTTGCCTGTCAACATAAATCAGATTAGTCAGTATTTCAAGTCTGAAAAGCTGATTATGACCATTCAATAACATTAGGGTGCAGTGAGGGATCGAAGTAAATACAATGCAGCATCCTTAATTAATAAAAGAATAATAATAAGTCCTGAAAACATACCTATCAGCTATCTTTTCCCTATTCCACCCATTCCTATGAGATTTTTTTCCTCAATAAACCTAGAATTTGAGAGGAATATTGACATTAGTAGTTAAACTATTTTTAGTCATGACTTAAGCTAGCATCACAAACATAAGGACATACAATAATAATAACAACAAGAATCATTCAACTGAAGATGGTTCATAAATCGAAAAAAACAAACACGTTATTATAGACCTTCAAACGCCAATTAAAGAAATAAGAAGGGCATAGATAGCAGTGAAATTGACTACCTGAAGACTGAGGAGGCATAATGCTCGTTGACCCTTTGATAGTTGTTAGAGCCAAAACTTTAATCCAATCCCAAAAAACAAGAAAAACTCCACCCCTCCTTTCTTTCTCTTCCACTTCGACGTCAACTACTCAGGGGAGAAGGGAGGCAGCTGCAAAGATTAGCGTTTGCAAAAGACTTTTATACAAGCCTATATAAAAATCACATATAACCTTATATATAACAAGTGTGTAAAAATCATATTTATATGTAAAATATTAGGCTTTGAATAATTTTTTTGCCCTAGAATTTGTTTCTAGATATTAGTATCTGGATATTAGTATTGACAAAACGATCAAACAATTGCAAAACTAATCTCATGTGCTATCGAAAGTGAAAGAACTCCAATTCTAAAACGTTTCTGGTAGAACAGAAAAACAAAGAAAAAAACCCAAAAATATTCAAAAACATAGCCAAACTTTTCAACGAAATAGAATATCAGTATGCAAGAGAACAAAAACCTAAAATCAGAACACCAAAACCCTAACCCTAGAATTTTACATGGAGCACAAGAACAACAAAACCATGATAGAAATCTAGCCAAACAGCAAAGCAGAATCTACTGAGACAAACATATAAGAACTCAAACCCTTAATTGCTATACATCAAAATAACAAGCACGAGTGCACGACTTACCTCTCAAATTACAAACAGAAATACTCGTCTTCTCTCTCTCAACAATCTAAAGAATGAAACTTCATATCGTAAAATGGTATATTGGTTATATATAGATGGGATCTCTCCTTATAAATTTTCCAAAAACTTCCTAACACCACCAAAATGTAAGGTTTCAACGCACTTGTACAGGTAGATTCAATGAGGACGTTCACCTTTTAGCTGAGTTTCAGTGCTCCAAGGGGAGAAGTGATTTCAGATTAAGAGGAGAAAAGCTAAATTTCTTTGTAGAGATTTTTAGAGAGAGAGAGAGATGTTAAAAGTTAAAACGGGGAGTGAGAAGCATCAAAATTTCTATATGTTCAAGAGTGTGTTTATAGTTAAATGCTGAGAATGGTCTACCTACCATTCTTTCCAACTGTTCTTACCTAGGAGTCAGACCTACTGGTGAAGACTATTTTTGAAATCTGGATTTCTCTCATCAATGATCAATCATCACAATTGGGTTTGACCATTTAAGTCAACTGTAAAATTTATACAATTATATAAGTAGTATTTTTATATAAATTTTAAATTAAAATAAATACATTCTTACTCCCATTTGTTCTTATAGAGACTTGAACCAGGTCCAATACTACTCACAGAATGATAAACTTTCACTGAGAAGCAATCCTTTTAACAAAAGATTTTCAACTAATAAACAAAGTTACAAAGATAAAGCACGTATAGTGTCAGAAACAAGAAAAGAAGAAAATAATAATAATAATAATAGCTCAAGTCGGTTTGGAGAGAGTTGTATACAACTAAAAACTGAGTTTCAGTATAAATGAACACCAACAATAAGGCATAAAAAAAAATTGAATTATTTCTACAAGTCCTATCTGGCATGTACAGTTTTGTTTGGATTGATGAATTTGTTCCATCAAAAATTTCATGGAAAACAAAATAAAGCTCTCTCTAGACAATGAAACATCTGTTCCAAAGAGACTCAAATTATTAAACAGACGAGTATTATAACACTTTAAAAGTTTTAAAGTTTGAGTAAATTCGATCTCTCCCGCTATAAGTTGAAGAAGAAAAAGAAGTCATGTTGAATGTACAAAAAATATCCATTTGAACTTAGATTAACACAAACACACTGGGTTCTCCATAACCGAGGCACATACAAAACACGAATACCACTCACACTAGCAAGCTGAGTTGAAATTGAAGATCCTAAACACACTGGTTCTCCATTTGAACTCAGATTAAAACAAACCCAACTCAAAATGCAAATGAAACCAAACAAAAAACACAGAGGCACAATAGAAGCACGAAAGCCCTTACAGACGCCGAATAAAATTGCATGAAAGCACTCACAGTCGAAACCTCAGTTCAAATCAAGACCCTAACACACTAGGGTTGTCCATTTGCACTCATATAAACACAATATTAACAAAAATCAACCCAAAATTGACGCAGAAGCCAAATATAAGTTCCAAGGGCGGATCCAGGATTTTTCAATGTGGTGGGCTAAATCAAAATATATCAACCAAAATCAACTGTTGTTTAATTCAATTTTAGTTAATTAACAATGTTTCTTTAGACAATTAACTGATTAAGGCATAGAAAATCCTATTTGGGTAATTAATTAAAAAAAGAACCAATTTATTTTTGAACAATTCACCACTCAATACCCTATCTCTTCTTTTGAACAATTTATTAATCCTATTTGAGAATCTACTAGTGGAAGCAGAGTGTGAGGTAGTTCATAGCAAGACCCTTCCAACACTATGGAATTCACTCAAAAGCATTTTGTAAACATTTTAATTTTCAAGAAGTAACTTTAGAGCTTTACCCTATATTAAGTACTTTTGGTTGTCAAAGTTCTTGTTATGATTTTTTTTAGTTATGAAAAGATTTACATCTTCAAAAAGCTTGGCATGTTGATAAAAATTGTTTCAGATTCAATCTCTGCAGATTTCTAATCCAATTCAGATTTTTTCTTTTTTCTTTTTTCATGCCCAGATTCAAATTTTATTGTAGACATAAAAAAAAAAAAAAAAAAAAAAACAGAAACAAATTTCGGTTATAGAAATACAAATATATATATATTTGTTTTGCTGAAATAAAATGTAGATTACGCTGATTACCTCAAAATGCAATGCAAAATTTGTTACTTCATATTGTAAAAAAAATATATATATATATAAAATATCATAAAAAATTTCAAACCTTGATTAGTTGATTTAGAAAAAAATTTAAAACAAAACCCATACATACAGTTAGATGTTTCAGAAAAAGAGGGGGGCAAGCTTGAGAGTTGAGATACAGCGGGCCAGCAGCGGGCCAGCGGCTGAAACTTGCGAACGGCGAACCCGAACTGGAACAGCGGGCGATGGAAACTGAAAGATATGGGTTTTGTTTTTTTGAACAATCTGAAATGATATGCCGATATGGGTTTTGATATAGGTAATAGGTTCTGAACTTTTGATTCTTGCAGACAGATAAATAAACTGAAATATATGGGTTTTGAACTTCTGATTCTTGTAGATTTTGTAGTTTGCAGTTGCAGAGAGAGAGAGGTGGGGCAAGTTCAGCAGAGTTGAGAACGAGAATAGAGGGAGGCGATTGGGGAGGTTGAAATGATTTGCCCTCAATTTTTTTTTTTTTTGAGGCCCTAGGCGACCGCTTTTGTCGCCTTGGGTCAGGGCTGGCTCTGGACTTATTTGTATTGGATCTTTATTTTAGAATGGTTGTTGAGTTGACTTGAGTTTGGTTGAGTGGATTAATATGATTAATAATTTTTTGTTTTATTAGGATTGAGCTAAAATTAGTATAGTCAAAAAAAAAAAAAAAAAAAAAAAAATCTTTGTGGGCTTGACCCTTGGACTAGCATAACTTATAAATGATTGAGCCTAAATTTACTAGTTGGTCCTCCAGCACGACCACAAGTTATTTGGTGGTCGTCGTTTGCAATCAAAATTAGGATTGTAAATAAATCAAGTATTTCACAAATAGTTTGAACATCCTGTTCATTTACTTGGTAAACGAGTCCATTTCAAATAAATTTCCCGGTCTCATTTCATAAATGTATCAATTTCAAACAACCACATGTTGTCCAGAAAGTCAGGAACATATTAAATTATTGAGTTAATTATAACGATACCCCATGAAGTTTGCCATACCCTTTAGGTTTAATAAAGCTAACAAAGACACCCAATGTTGGTGAATTGACATTATTGTCCCTTGATACATTCAATTACCAATTTATCTAACACAATTCTTTCTTATTGACCAAAATACCCTACTAATAAACCAAAGCCACCACCATCCACTCCTAAATGAACCCACAACCATCCTACCACACCCACAATGCACAGAACCTATTGCCAATGTTCAAGGATTCTTGCAGTATTTGCTCACCGGACATAACATCCTCAGTTGAGCCCGTCTTCCTCCTCATCGGACTCTTCTCATCACCGCCGTTCCACCGCCGCCAGATCTTCCTCTCTGGCCGTCTTAATTTACTAGCCAGAATCCGAGCTCTTTGGATAAATTACTCAAAACTTCATGAATTCGAAGGATTAGACTGAGAACAAGTTTCAAAATACATTCATGCATTCAATATATATATATATATATCCCAAAAAAAAACACATTAACAGAACTGGAAAATGAACCAAATAAAATCGAAGGATTAATTGATGAAAACCCAAAACCCAAAAAAAAAAAAAAAAAAATCAAAGATGGATGGATCAAAGCTCTGTTTTCTCCAACTTAAATTCGAGCTCTCGTTGCCACTGGATCACCTTCTTGCCGTCTTTCGTGAGTGGAAGAGATAGCCAGAGCACACCTTAATTAAGCTCCGCCTTGATTTGGTCCGTATCGCATAGCAATGGACACCCTGGAATGGTACCATTGTAGATGCCTCCTTCGTACCATGCTTGGGTTCGTTCTTACACTTTCTGGCAAACACTACATCTTTCTTCTTGTCGACCCAAAGATCCAAATCCTTTGATCCTAAACCAGGTAGGTCAAGCCTGATCCAATAGAACTCCTCTCTCACCAGTTTAATTTCGTATGGCTGTCTTGGCCCAATCTCATCATCACTCACTCCTATATAAATCAATTAACATAATCAGTCACACACACATATATATACTGTACATGAATATATATCTATGTCTATAGATTGTAAAGGAAACAGTAATAATTTTACACAGATCATACAAGTTCGAAGAGGTATGAGAATATTTATGCAACCTTGTTGTTTGGAGCTGAGGCCGGCGTGGGACTCCGAATTGGAGTCGGAACTGCTTTTCTGAACAGGGTATGTGTAAAATGAATAAGAAATGAAGGAAGTGACCATCGGAGGTGAGAGATGTGAGCGGAGGAGTTTCGTCAGGCTAATGGCGGTGGTGAGAGTCGGTTTTGGCTTTGGAACCGCTCGCAGAAAGAGCGACGATGTGAAGTGAACGAGCAGTCAATGGAGTGACGTCCATATGAGGAGAGCGCTGTGAGGGTAGGAGCTTCATCAGATCAACAGCGCTGGAGACATCGGAATTGGCTATGGAAGCGCTTGCCGAAAAAGAGAAGACGCTGCGAAGTGAACGAGTAGGGAAGGTGACACACAATCCGTTGTCGTCGCTCCATCTCTGCCGACCTCATCGTTCTGAGCGAAGCCCCAAGCTCACCACCGCGAGTCATTCATGGCCAAATCAGCCGACTTCCCCACAGCCGTACTGAGCCCATCACTGTCCCGCCGCTCGTCCACCGCTATTCCGTGCTCTTTGCCGCGAATTGTCCATAACTGATTCCAACCAGTCGTCGCTCACCGCCGCAAGAAAAAGAAAGGGTTTTAATTGGAAACCCTAAGTAGTGAGTGATGAATGGTGTGGGTGAAATCGAATGGGTGTTTTTCTTAGGTTGTCTTGGATTAGGTGATGGTGATTGAAGAATGGGGAGGAAGGAGGCGGTGAGATTGTGGAAGGGTGGAACTTACGGTGGTGTAGGGATGGTGGGTGGCGAGATGTAATAGTGTATATATAAGGGTAAAGTTGACTTTTCATGAATTCTGATATTTTATCATAAAAATGAATTAAACATTGAAGGGCAATTTCGTCTTTTATAATGTTTTAAGGGCTTGTTTGGAACAAAATTTTCACAGAGGTGTCTTTGTTCAAAAAATGACTAAGTTGTATATGACCGTCAACATAACAAATATCAAAAAGTGTCATTGTAAATAACCCTAAATTATATATGCACACACATTATAAATAAAGTTTTTTTTTTTTTTTTTTTTTTCTCTCTCTCTTTTAAGATAAAAATTTTAGATTAGAAATTAGCTGTGCGAAGCT